TGTGACCTGGAGGCTTGAAACTCAGGTGTGTGTGTGTGTGTGTGTGTGTGTGTGTGTGTGTACGCCCAAAATCCCAAAAGGAGAATGGAAGAGAAGGATTGTGGCATGGTCATTCCCCCAGAGGGGTGATTTCTTGCTTTCTGTCTCTCTGTCTCTCTGGTGAGTGTACACACTCAACAGCAAAATCTCTGAAAAACAAACAAACAAAAACAGCGACAAATACTGGAAGAGTATATGGGGAATAGTAGTATTGGAATAGGGAAGGAGATGGGGATCAGAAATAGGAGTGAGAGCTTGTTGCTGTATATGTTTTCTTCTCATTTCTTTTTGTTTTTATATTTTGTTTTGTTTTAAAGTTCTTTGTTATAGCATGTGTGCGCTTACCAGGTAGAGAAGGAAATTAAGAAATCTCTCCCCAAGGGAGATGCCCTAGTCCCCTCAGGATTCTAGTCATGCACACAAATGCCCAGTGTGATTTTCAAGCTGCCAGGTCTGGGAGTTGAACCACTTATGCAATCAGCCATGTGGGATCCAGTGAATTAACCTCCACACCACCTGCTGCCCCCACTCCTCCATTTCTTTTTATCATGATAGAAACCATGTACATGCACCCATGAAACAAGAGAGAGAAAGAAGCATCCTTCACAGGGCCTCATCATGCCAGGATCCCCTCTCCTCAGCCCTCTACTCCTCAGGATCCTGGGTGCCTGCAGATGCACCCTGTATGTATGTGTTTCAGGCCAACATCACAGCCACCATGTGACTTCCAGCACTAGACTACAGAGCACAAGTGTTAGCACTGCTCCACAGGGACTAGCCTACTATGTATGTTTTTATCATTTTTTTTTGTACCAATGTGAATGTTATTTATTCAAAAATTAAATGTATTAATACAAAACAAGTAAGAAGACAATAAAAGCAAAATACAAATTCCATAAACAAGATGATACTAGAAATAGAAGAAATAACAATCCTCCAATCAAATAAATTGAAGCACATATATGATTATAATTTTTTTTTATATGTTACAACTTCAAGACACTGGTTGGAGGTTACCTTGGGCTGGTTAAATAATATTGTATAAATCTCACTTTTGTAAGATTAAAATATTTTCCTCTTCCAAAAACTAATTTGTAAAAGCCACCTTTATTCCAAAACATGCTTTTTTAAAAGAATTATTTTAATTCAATTTTATTTATTCATTCATGTATTTTAATTTGACCAGAAGACACACACAAAGAAATAGACAGAAAATGAAAAAGCAAGCCACTAGGTCTAGGACTCGAACCATGGTTGGCCATGTGGGAGTGTCTAGCACTTTAACCACCACACCACCTGCTGTTCCCTCCAGCAAAATATTCTTAAGCCAAGGGGGGGAAATTTTTATGAAAATGGAGACTGGGTATGGAAGTCTGCATTGCTTATTATTTTTATTACCTGAAATGATATCAATATTGACAAATGATTAGTCATTTTGTTAAAATATACACAGCCGTTCGTGAAATATTGCACAGTGTACTGCCTGCAGTAAGACATTAACAAGGAAAGCAAACTTTTGCCCTCAAGTTTGTATTTCTAAGTCCTAAAAATTTAACAGCAGAGCTGTGCTTCTATTTTTGAAAACACTTGTTGAATCAGTGCCCTCTGATTTTCAGAGACTTTCTTCCTCTCACACTCTGTGAATTAGATCCACATCATACTCAGCTCAAACTGAGTTGCTTCTCTGACCTGGTTTACTGGGGCCAAAGAATGGCTTGACTAATTTCTGTTCCTAAAAGAAACTTAAAAAACCAGGGTAGACTGCATGCCAGCCACCAAGGAAAGGGATGCTCTGGAGTTTGGCTCAGAATCCTCAGGGTATTTTGAATCCTTGTTAAATCATTAAAATGAAATCCTTGGTAGGATGGAGAGCAAAAGCTATGAACAGGCAGAACATGCTCCATTTCCTGGGATGGCTCAACCCATACAAGTCTCATCCAAATCCATAGTTCTGAATTCTCTTTGAAGAAGTTATTTCAAAGCTGATTTGAGGTCTGGTGAACTTGGGTGTGGGACTTAAACAAACTCTTTCCTGTAGTTGCCTAAGCTTCCGTAGAGATGCAGTCCAGTCAACCACTGGACAACATTCCTGGTCCTACCATCTCCGCTGGCTTTCTTTACTTGAAGTGTATCCCCAGTAAGAGACCATGAAACACCTTTTACCTGACCTCCAATCCTGACAGTAACCTAGCAACTCTGTGGCTATTGATTCCATTTTACATATGAGAACAACCTAGGCTTAGAGAATTTAAGTATGAAGCAGATTACTTAAAGCTATACAGGCCTTTTGTGGTATTCAAATCCCCATCTGTCTGATTCTGAAAGGCATGTTTTTCTACTTCAACATAAGACCTTTGACATAGTAACTTTTAGCTTTTGTAGTTTGAACATTATGCAATTAATTATACTAATGATGACAGATCCACACATACTAATTTGTGCTTGGGTATATTTAAGGTTATTATAAAGACTGTCACCTAAAAACAATTTGCTTAGGATTGCAAAGCTATTAAAAAGATAAACATGACAGTTTCTTTCATGTAAAAAATGAATTTAAAAATAGAGCAAATTATAACCCCAGAGAAATGTATACATCTTACCACCTTCTTCAGGTTTCATGTCTAATAATTCATCCATAGGTCCTTTAGAAGAAGGGAAAGAAAAAAATTTATGAGTCAGTTTCATTTTGTAAGGAGTTTGACTCAAATGATTAAAAATGAGGTCATTTTTTTTTTCAATAGATTACCTGAGCATGCATTAGGTGTAGAGCTTTTGTCTAAGGCAGATAACATACTTTTTTCATCTTCACCTGTAATATAACATATGCAACTAGTTATCACCAACTCCAAATAGTTGAGTGTGTTCATATACCATTGCAGTGTGAGGTCAATGCACAGTCAAATGATTAAAAATTAGGTCATTTTTTTTTTCAAATAGATTACCTGAGCATGCATTAGGTGTAGAGCTTTTGTCTAAGGCAGATAACATACTTTTTTCATCTTCACCTGTAATATAACATATGCAACTAGTTATCACCAACTCCAAATAGTTGAGTGTGTTCATATACCATTGCAGTGTGAGGTCAATGCACAGCTTAAGAAAGAAATGGCACTCACAGGCTTATTCAGGCAGAAGCAGGGGTACTCAGATTACATTTTATTCCAGCTGTTGGCTCTCAGTGGATGCTGAATTAACAGCCCTGAGTCTTTGCTTTGCATGGCAGATAATCCACAAAGTCATATGACACCAGTCTAACTATCCTCCTTCCTTGGACAGATGTGTGACTTGAGTAGTTGACTATTATTTGATGATGCTAATGGGTTTTAGCCATATGGGCCTGTCTAAAATAAAAAGGCATATTGCTACATGAAAGAAGTCAATCTGAAAAGGCTATAATACTAATGATTCTAACTATATGACATTCTGGAAAAGACCAAAGTATGGAGACAGTAAAAGATCAGTGGTTGTCAAGGATTTGAGGGAAGAAAGAGAATAGGTGGAACACAGGGGGTTTTAAGGGCAGTGAAACTATTTTGTAAGCTACCATAATGTCAGGTGCATGTTGTTACATGTTTGTCATGCCCATAAAATATACAACACCAAATATGAGCTCTAATATGAACTACGGACTTTGGGTGATAATGACGTGTAGGTTCATTGATTGTGAAAAATATACCACTTGGGTGTAGGATATCGACAGCTGAGAGACTATGCATATATTGAAGCAGGAGATATGTGGGGAATCTCTTTATTTGGCATTCAATTTTGCTATGAACCCCACATTTCTCTAAACAATAACGAGTGTGTGTGTGTGCGCGCGCGTGTGCATACGTGTTTTTCTGCAATAAAATAGCCTTAAAACTGGGTTTTCTCAAATGTTCACTAGACTTTCTGCATGTCACAGAATAAAAGACAGATGATACTTCATTATACCACTTCCGTTCTGTGTATATATAAAACAAGGTGATCAACATTTACAACTTCAAAACATTGTGCAAATATCACAAGTGCTTATACTGTACAAGAGAAAATTACATTCCCCTCCATAGTCACATATTGCATGAATATATAATTAACACAGATTTGTAATCTGCATATGAATATAATAAACTAGGGTGTTCATTTTGCCACAGAACAAAACTACTCTACACTATACATGGGCTAATGGAATTGAATTGTTGCAGACTGGGAAGCTCTTCCATGGCCAACGAGATCAGGCCTGCCTCTCTGCTGCCTTCTCCAGGCACTTGCTCCCTGGCCCCTGCTACATTTTAAAACATCATTCCTCTGACCTTTGCCTGTTACTTCCTGGCTCATGGCCTTTGTCCAGGCTGCTTTTTGTTTTGTTTTGTGTGGTTTGGTTTTGCTTAGACAAGCCTTGCAAAGCACTTGGCTTAGTGAATTCCCTGATCTCCTCAAACAGGTGAGGCCTCCCTTTCTATCACACATATCCCAGCCTTGTGCTTTCCCCTTGTACCTCACCATAGTTAGAGTGTCAGGGTCACTTGTGTGATTATTAGATTGCCATCTGATTCCCCTTGTGACCGTAAGCCCCACCCTGGAAAGGTCTGAACATGTCTGGTGTGCCACTGTCTGCCCAGAGCCCAGTGCCGTGCCTGGCACAGAGGTGGCTCTCAGTAAGCATCTGGTGAACAAGTGAACAAGTACATGACATGAAGACATACATGCACGAGTGGGTGACATGAAGCCAGCACAAGAGGCAAAAAAAAAAAAAAGTGAGTCGTTTTGTTTTGTCTTTAATTTTTGAAAGGCAGATAGAAGAAAAGTAAATGGAGTAGAGTGGGGAATACAACAGGTGAAGCAAGTGGTTGGAAAAGCAGGAAGACAGACAGTAGATAGAGGGTGAAGGAGAAGAATGGAGCAGAGGGGAGGTTCAGGCG